GGTTCGGTTGTTGACCCGAGTGACAGGGAGTCTTTTAACATAGTTAAGGGATTACATTAAGAGTGGAGATTCATGTGAGCGGTATAAGCCTCGGATATTGAGTGAATATTTCCCATTTGTGGTTGGGAAGAAACTAATTAGACCTAACTTCCAAGCTCCTGATTGCCTCTTATGGGCATTTACTGACTAAGTAGTATAATCAGCCGAATTTTTGTGGTATTGCGTTACAGAGCAAGAGACAGTAGATATTGTCTTGATGAATTTTAATCCCAATATTCTGGGTCAGTCGGCGTTTATAGAAAGAACTTTTTCCTATCGCGAGGCGCAGGAAATTAGTGAGCCATGTTGAAGAGTAGAATGAATGCCAACCGTCCGATTGTCAGCCTGGCGTTTTCCCATGGGGTACGACTGCGTCACGAGTGGCTGCCCCTTCCTCTGGTAAGCCGTCCTCATGGGCCTCGTTGCCAACAAATTCCGTCAAGCGTTGGAGGTGTAATAAAATGGGGCACGTGCGAAGGGATTGTGGGGTATAGGAACTTCAGTAAGGATTTTTTTCGATTTGATCCTTCTTTCGGTTAGGCTTATGTGTGGTATATTAATTATAATTTTAATTTTGATCCCTGGAATTCAAAATTTAGGATTGATTTTTCAGAACGTTCGAAATAATTTTAATTTTTCGAATTGAGTGTCTAAATTTTTCATATTAGGAATGTATGTAATTTCTGAGACTCTCAGAATTTATAAAATGTTAATTTTTGCATCTTTGGAAATAATGTAGTGTAATATGAGGGATTGTGTGTCCCAGAACTTAATTACTTTATTTTAAGGACTATCTTTTGTGGTCAGTTAAGTTTAAGTCAAGATAAGTTTGGGATATCTCAGGTCAGGTAGTCTAGGTCTTTCTTTAGGTCTTCATTTTGGGCTAAGAATATTTACACCTACATACATTTTGGAATGATATTGTTTCATCTTGTAGATTTTTATGAATTTTTGAAGTTTGAGAATAATTGTATTCAGAACTTGTGCGCGTCTTTGAATTTTGGAAGTGTGGAAGTAAATTACGTTTCGAAATTTTGAAATTCATGAAAATTTTCAGCTTTATTAAACAATAATTTTTTAGATTTGTTGAATCATTAAAATTAGGTATGGAAGAACATTTTGATATAATGGTAAGTTTAAAATATCCACATATTTAATTTTTAGAAATTGTTGAATTATAGGTTAAACTACTTCGGTTAGGATATTTTATTTTGTCTCAAGTTGCGACAGGTTGTGTTAGACTATGCCGGTAAAAATTCAGGTGCTAGGTGAGTGAATATGAACTGTGTATTATTTCTTCATTCAAATATTTTAAATCTTTGTGATAGAGGTATTTCTAATGATTGTGTAATTAAATGTCTTCTAGTCATGAAATCCTAATAAAATTATATCTACTGAGAATTGCTCCCTTTTTTCTTACGAAATTCGAGGGTTTGATTAATGTTTTAATTTCAATTATGAAATGAACGTCAGAGCTGTTCCTTTTATTTTTGGCTTTTGAAACACTAAAATCTTTCAAGAATTTGACATTCTGAGTGTTTTTGAATTTTAATATTTATATGTTTTGGAAAATATAAAATTTCTAAACTTTCAAACGTAGAAATTTTGAAGAAATAGAAATATTTTAAATTCCGAACGTTTTACTAAATATTATGAAATTAGGACAATTTTGGAATTCTGATAACAAAGGGGTACCCAAGTTTTAAATTTTGAAAGTTTTGATGTTGAGAAATTCGACTCTCTACGCGCATATAAAATTAAATATTTTGAAATATAAGAGTTGAATATTTTAGGAATTTTTAGACGAATTTTCAAATGATATCGTTGCAAATTCCAAAATAATTTATTTTTCTTGACCAATTATAAAGGATTTCTATTTATGATTCTTACGATTAATTAAATGGATTAAGTATGGTAATGCAATTCTTATAATTGAGGTTGCTTACGTAAGGTTAGGTAAGTAAAGTTAGACGTACATAGGTTAAATCAAATACGTCTCTGTTAGTTTTATTTCAGGTTAGGTTTAGAAAGTTCGGTTAGGTTATTTGAGGATAGAATAGATTATTATTTAATGTTACGTTACCTTCCGTGTTTCAGTTTCGGGTGATTATTTAGTTACCTGCTTCGTCCAGCGAAATAAAATTTCAGTGCGTGTGAAATCACTAGTCATTTTTAAAGTTTCATTACTTTCACCCTTAAAATAAAAAAATAAGAATCTGTAATTTCCATATTCGAATTTGCAAGATTAAAACTTCATATATCAACATGAAACATGTCCTAAAAATTCGTAAACGGAATTCCAAAACAGCAGATTCTAACTATACGTAATCTAACGTAAGAAACCCTGTAATAAAACCTCTCCTTTCTTAACATAACCTATTGTAACCTAACTTGACTGAAACTAGCTTAACTCAGATTGAATTAACCTTGATTAACCTAACATAACTGAACCTATATTTCCCCAAACTATCCTACTTCGACAAATTTAACATGATCTTTCACAAGACATGTTAATAAGACCTATCCAAATAATCAGATACTTTTAATTACAATTTTCATTTTAATAATACTTTAAAAGATTATTAGTAACCGAACCTACAGAATCTATCCTAACGTAACGTATCCCAAACGAACATGTCCCAACCTGACCTCTTCTATACTAACGGAACCAAAAGTCACATGTAGTAAACTAACTTGTAAATATAAATAACATGACATCTTACAGTAATCTGAACTTTCACCTAAAACACAAACTTTCCGTAACCTAACGCAGCAGAATCTACGGAAACTCCTATTGTTTTCCACGTCCTCGCCTGATTCTAACCAGTCCCCACTGCTTAGGATTAGGCTATTCCTTCATTGTCTGGTTCCTATAACTCCAGCATTTTCACTCGAGCGGCTTACTCATCGCCCTGATGATGGAGGCAGTAAGGACTTCTGAAACGTCGGTAAACTTCTACCAGACCACATGGCGCAACAACCCAGAAGACAGCCATCGTTAAACCAAACTTCCATAATTTAATGTAAAATAAAATGTCTAATCATGCCTAACCTAACAAACAGGACCTCTCTTAAAGTAACCGCACCAAATTTACTGACATTCCTGATTTTATTTTTCTAAATGTATTCAAAAATTAGAGAAGTAGATTTTAAGAATTTAAATTCTGGAAGCACTTAACAGTATCAAACCTGCCTTGCTGAAAAAATTTGTTGCACATTTTAAAAAATCAACATTTTTTTTCTTTCCTCTTGACACACAAAAATAAAAAAAATTACAGTCCTCACGTTCGGAATGTCAAGATTTAGTCTTCGAAATTCAACATTAAATCAAATTAATAATTCGTAAACAGAAAGGGAACAGTCTATGTGGTTAGTATTATAGGCATGGTAAGAGGGTTCTATCTATGCCATCTGTATTATAGCCATGATAGAATTTCTAAATAGTCAGTAATACATGATTCGATGAAGGGGTCTACGTGGTCAGAAAAATAGGAATGAATAGAAGTGTTTTATGGTCATTTTTATAGGCACAGATAGATAGGTCCATGTGGGCAGTTTAATGGGAATGAATAGAGGCATCTACATGGTCAGTATTATAGGCATGGGTAGTGGTGTCTATGTTGTCAGTATTATAGGTGTGGATACGAGGTCTATGTGGTAAGTGTATTCTCACGTAGACTATATTGACTAATCTTCATGGTATCCACCAACATGTCAACATAACACCAAATCCAATATAAATGGGCCATTCTGTTTGATATATTTAAATGTAGGCTTGGTTAGGTTCTGGGTAGTCTAGCAAATATTTGCTAGGCATTGTAATGTTGAGGGTCTGGCTTATAATGTTCTGTTTTAGGCTAATTTATGCCCTGGCCATTCTAGTACAATGCCAGATGTGTTTCTGATTTAAATCAGGCTATGCTGAGGATAGGGTGTTGCATGTTAGGCCATGTCATTGCTTGTTTATGCAATTGTATGGTATGCAATCTCCATCTAGTCCAGTGCAAGGTTGGCAAGTCTGCGCTCTGGTTAGTATAGTACAAGTTACGCTTTGGTAAGCTCTGCATAGAATAGTCCATAGATGGCTAGGTGATGAGGCTGTTGTTACAGAAGTCCACAGCAAGACTAATTTTGCCTAGACTGGTCCACAGTAGGCTAGGTTATGTTCTGGCAACTCTGTTACGTGACAGATATGGCTAGTTTATAGCCAGTCTGTTGCATGGTAGGCTGGGCAATATTCTGACTTGTCTAATCCATAGTAGGCCAGACTATTTTTGCTACACCAACTTGAGATATGCTGGGTGAGACTGATTATACTACATTTTTTTCTGCGTATACTGGTCCAAGGGAGATTAATCTATTCTCTGACTAGGCTACGCTATTAAAGGTTCTTACTGGACTAGGCAAAGGTAGGCTAGGCTCTGCTTTGGATAGTCCTTGGTATCTAGGCTGTGTCTAGACTAGTTGATGATAGGCTAGACTCTGACTATGCCTTTGTCAAGTTCATTGTATTTCTGCACACAGGCACTTCAGGAGTCAGAATTTTTTCGGATTGAATATCCATCACTGTTGCCTGATTTTATGAAAAAGTGGAACGTATCTACAAATTTTAGTAAAAATCTTCAATATGAATTTCATGAGAATATGTCCAGCCATTTTCCAGTGTTGCAAACTGACATACATGCATGGACAAGCAAACAAGCTCATCTTTAGCAGAATTTGAGGATTTCATGGCTGTGAGTCCAAAGATGGTCTCATCACCCTGTTGATGGAGGCAGCAAGGACCTCTGAATCGTAGGTCAACTTCTACCAGACTGCATGGTGCTACAACCCAAAAGACAAAAAGCATACATTTGTAATCATTAGATGGAAACATGCCCAAAAAGAGACAGCTCATTAGTCTTCAGTTTTTCTATACTTGATACTATTACACAGATCTCGTACTGTTAATATTCAGAAAGTAGCTCTAATGAATATTTTTTATTCCACAAAATATGTTTTGGCAACATATACATTTGATATATGTAGGAACTCAACTTACCAACTACATGTCAATATGTGACTCTTTAATTCATCTTGAGAGGAAAACACATCATCACACTTACATTCATATGGTGGTTTTATAACAGTGTGAGTCAATATTATATGTTTCTCTAAGGCAGATATTTGAGGCACGTAACAGCCACATGTTTCACACAACAGCTTTTGTTTACAAGAAACATTTTCTTTATAATTTCCTACATATATACAGTTGTTAGTATAGCAGGTGTCTCCATTCATATGTGTTGCTCTCCAATGTGCTTGAAGAAATGGTATATCAACAAAGTCCTTTCCACAGAGACAACACTCCAATGACAGAACTCCAGTATGCGTTACTAAATGCTTTATCATATCATTTGAAGTTTCTCCACAAACCAGGCACCAATCAGGATTTTTGGTCCTTTTGGAACCTGAGTCACTATATTTATTATTTACTTTCTTCTTACTTTCTTCCATCACTAAAATGTCCTGGCTTTCCTTATGCCCCTCTGTCTCTGGCTTTTTCTCTGTGCCTTTCTTCTTGCAATGATTCATCACTTGGATTTTAAGAGTTATAAGATCAAGAGATTTAGTCTTGTTTATCATCACATTCTGATTTCGAACTTGAGATGTAGTCTTTCTATTGTCTGCACAATTCCTACTTTTCAAAGGAACATGAGTTAAACCTCCAAAAACATGTGTTGATAATAAATGTTGCTCAAGAACTGCAAAGTCAGGAAAAGCATATCCACATGCATCACAAATGAATGATGATTCACTGTGCAATAAATAATTTTTGCTAACTGATACCGGAACAGGATTCCCTTGCATGTGTGATCTCCTCCAATGGGCTTGAAGGAAAGGCAAATCTGAAAATGTTTTCTTACAAATGGTACATGTCATGGAATTGGCTCCAATATGTATCCTCCAGTGTTTAATAAGATCATTTACATCACCAGAATTACTTTCACATACTTTACATGTAAGCACCTTTCCATTCTGATCAGAAATAGACTCAGATTTTGTGTTGTCCATTGATGAGGGAAGATCTTCTCTCTCCACTTCTGATTCATCACCAGTTTCTGTCACATTATTTACCACTGATGCTGAATTCCTAGCCATGAAATGCTCTGAGACATTAGTTTCCATTACATTATTTATAAAATCAGCAACTGAGTGACCATCACCACCACTTCCTACTAAGTTATTTTTCAATCCTGTAAACTGTTTAGTTAAAGAGTGATTATTTAATACTGGACTATCTTGCACACTTCTACTGCTTATTATATTATTCTGTTGTGTGTTGGTAACACTGTACAATGATCCTACAGTATTAATGGATCTGAATATACCGTCTCTGGGACATGTAAGAACATGTGTTGACATGACATGCTGTTCAAGGGAAGAAAACTGAACAAACGCAAAGCCACAAGCTTCACACACAAGCTGTGGCAAGAACTCTGGCTCATTTCTCAACACTACTCCAGAGTCAGAACATATGCCTCCCATATGAGTTGCTTTCCAGTGTGCCTGGAGAAAGAGCACATCTGTGAATGATACACTGCAAACCGTACATGTCAATGAATCAACTCCAGTGTGGAGACGCCAGTGTTTGACAAGTTCATCCACAACAGCTGAGACGCTTCCACACACCAGACATGAAAACAGGTATGAAAAGTCCTGTGAGCAATCCAATATTTCATACCCATTAGTTGGAAGACTGTTGAGGGTAACATAATCATTGCTCCATGTAGTTTCCTGGCATGTCCTGTTAAAAGAGAAAAAGGAAAACAGCATCTTTAGATTACACAGGGAAAACACATACTCATATCTACAATTTTCAAGGGACAACCTTCACTTGAACATAAACGAATTTGCATAAATGAGCTGAACCTTATAAAAATTGGCTGAGCTGAGAAGCTGATGTCAAGAATATATTAAGTTTCATCATGTATCAGGAATTTGCTGGCATGCACTCTCAAATGACTGTCAGACAATCACAAATAACAAAACACCTTCAATGCAGAAAAAAGGACCTACCCTACTTATAACAATTATATGAAGTTCCCAAACCAATTTCTTTTTAAAATTGGATTTATTAAATTTATAGTAATGACAGTTATTTAAAAATGCTATGTCATCTTACACTTCTGGAATCCAAAATGTCATACTTTCCATGCTTTCTCCTTTCTCTATCAATTAGGGACAATCAATAACAGTGAACTGGAATATCGAGTCACACTCTTATACATAATACTGGTCATTCTGAGCAGCATCAAGTTGCACTCATGACCATCTAGATTCAGTAGTGTAACTTGTCAACAATAAATGGCATAAGAATCTCAATCTTTCAACTTCCAAGTCCCTGACTTGTTAATCACGTATTGATACAAAAAAATTTCCTTGTGAAATTGCTGAAATAGTCCTATTTCCTCCACCCACACAGCACAATCACAATGAAAATTTACATAGCAACTGCATGCACAGTAGTGTGCTGTTTCAATGCCAACACAAGTAATCGACAAGAGACATGTCTATAAAAATTCAACTATATGAACAGTGAGGACTACTGAGTCAATTTCCTGTTGTTATCAAAACAGTATAATAAAGCTTCATTAGTAAATGGTAGTTAGATTTCTGAATATGTAAAACTATGACTTAACAAATTTGTAGGCTCCTCCTTGGAGAGTGGGCAGTTATTCAGAAGGTCAAGAAATTCTGTCGCTTTAAAAACTTCGAAGTTCATTAACAAGTTCACAAAAGCCTACTGCTGGATCCTACACAGAGCCAGATTTATTAAGATTACATCTTCACTTCCTAGTTGTCTAAGATCCATTTCAATACTTGCATACTGATATCTTCCACTGAGGTTTTCAAATCAAAATTATATCCTCAAATCTTGTGTATAGGTGAAACACATATGAAGAAAGCAGAAACAAAATTTCAGAGGAATTTTACTCGTATAGTAGACTACATGAAACAACCAATAATATTAAAAGGAATACTTATATTACACCAGACACAGCCCTGAATGCATGCATAGAGAATATTCCAGTGGAAATAAAAATACAAAATATAGGTGACAATACAATAAATCAAAATGTATCTACAGAACTTCCTAAGTTATAATAACTTACATGTCCTAAATTCAAACTTCGGACATAACAGAATGAGTCTGCATGGTGAAAGAGACCAAAATCCATTGCTATTTCTTGACTAATCAGGAAATTGCATTATTATTTAAAGATACAAAGGTTTACACAAGGTCTGTTATCTAGAGTCATAATTACATATTAAGAGCTGAGATTCTATTTAAAACAAACTGGAGTAAGATGGCTGTCATCTGGTTTGTAGTGCCATGTAGTCTGGTAGAAGTTTACCAACGTTTCAGAGTGTATTTTACAAGTGTAAGTCAGATAACACTTAAAGGAAAAATGTTGAAAAGTACATTTGCTACAAAATTGATCAATCTAAAATCGTTATCAGAAGAGATTAGATGAACAATAAAAACGTAAAGCTATCGCACTACACACCAAGTAGACGCTTAGGGGGAAAAGATGGTACACCTCCTACTTGTTCTTAACCTAGATAGGGGTGAGTGGTTAGCATCATAATCAGCCCCAGGAAGGCTTTAGCCCCAGGAAGAGACCCCAGTACCCAATAGATAGGAGTCTGAGTGGGCCCCAGAGTCAGTCTGGATGCGGAGACCAGAAGAAAAATCCCGGTCGAGGATTGAACCCCAATTGTTGTCAGTCACTATACTGACTGAGCTACCCCAGGTCCTAGATGAACAATTGGACTGCACTAAAAACAGGCAACTAACACCCTCTTGTTTGTCAGTTGCATCATAAGAGTGTGGGACTGTTGGCAAGAAAAAAAACATTAATAATTATTCCACATGTGCCATCCAGTTTAAAAAGGGAGAAATTGCTTATCAATTTTCCAACAGAGTAGCAAAGCTTAATATGGGGAATCTATGTATAGTGGATCCAGTGTCACCACGGCATGGCACGTCCTCAGGTTTCAGATGGAGGAGACAGCCTCCAGAAAGGAGGGTAGCTGCAAATATATTAAATAAGCAGTCACTGGCAGCCAGCACTGAATGGTCATCCAACTTATTACACAGGGCCTCTGCCTAGGATGGAGTCTTTGGAACTACTTAAGCAAAGGAAAATGGACATATTTTATACATGGAATTTAAGGAAACTGCATAGGGCAGGTTGACTGACAACAGTTGCAAGAGAATTAGCAAAATATAAGTTAGATTCAGTAGGAGCACAGGAGGTTAGATGGGGCAGGGGTGGCACTGTACCAGCAGGACATTATACATTTTTCTATGGAAAGGGGAATAAGAGCATGAATTAAGGACAGGATTTTCTGTGCACATGAGAATCATATCAGCAGTTAAGAGGGTAGAGTTTGTTAGTGATAGCATGTCATATATAATATTAAGAGGTCATTGGTGCAATATTACTGTTTTTAATGTGCATGCCTGAACAGAGGATAAAACTGGTGATACAAAGAATAATTTCTTAGAGGCACTAGGGCGCTTATTCAACCAATTCCTAATGTACCACATGAAAATTTAATAGGAGATTTCTATGAAAAAGTAGGTAGAGAAGATATTTTTAAACCAACAGTTGGGAACAAGTGTTTACGTGAAATCAGTAATGATAATGAAGACAGAGTAGTAAATTTTACCACATCCAAAAATCATAAATTAGATTGGACATCTCCCGATGGAAAGACAGACAATAACTATCAGATCGTTTCAAAAGTTGGGGAGAGAATGGCAGTAAGTAAACAAGCAACACAGCAGTTTAATATGGAGAGATTAAGTATCAAGAAACTAAACAAGGTAAAAGGTAAAGAACAGGATCAGGTTAAAATCAAAAACATGTTTGCAGTTCTGGAAAACTTACACAATGATGCAGATATCATTAAAACTTGGGAAACAAATAGAGGATAGAGAATATCAAAATTGAACTGAAGCACATAAACTATGGTTCGACAAAGGATGTTTAAAAGTATTAGATCAAAGGAAAATGCCAAATTGCAATGATTACAGGATCTGAGACAAATAAATTGAGATAACCTGAACAATGTATGATGAGAAGCTAGTAAGGATTTCAGGAACAAAAGGACAGAATATATGAAAGATAAAACATTAGAGACTTATACAGAGGTATAAATGAATTTAAGAAGAATTACCAACCTAGAAGTAACTTGGTAAAGGATGAGAAATGGTGATCTGCTTGCAGATTCCCACAACATTTTAAATAGGTGGAAGAACTACATCTCTCAACTATTGAATTTTCATAGGGTTTGTGACGTTAGGCAGATGGAAATACATACAGATAAGCCATTAGCACCAGAGCCTAGTCCTACTAAGATTGAAATTGCTATTGCAATGTTTAAAAGGTATAAATCAACAGGTAGTGATCAAATTCCAGCAAAACTTATTCAAGCTGGAGGTGATCCATAAACTCCTTTGTTCTATTTGGAATAAGGAAGAATTGCCTCAGCAGTGAAAAGAGTCTATTAAAGTACCAATTTACAAGACAGGCGATAAAACTGACAGTAGTCATTATTGAGGCATATCACTGTTATCAACTTCATACAATATTTTATCCAACATTCTTCTTCCAAAGTTAAGTCCATACACAGACAACATTAATGGGGATGATCAATGTGGGTTTTGACATGACAGGGCAACTATTCAACAGAATTTTTGTATTTGTCAGATACTAGAGAAAAAATTTAAAAACAATGAGACAGTACATCAGCAATTCATAGACTTCAAGAAAGCTTATGATTCAGTTAAAAGAGAAGTGTTGCACATTTAGTTTGGTACACCCATTAAACTAGTTAGGCTTATTAAAATGTGTTTAAATGAAACCAACAGAAAAGTCCAGTTGGTAAACATTTGTCTGACACGCTTCCTATTCAGAATGGTCTAAACAAGGAGATGCTTTATCACCATTGCTTTTCAACTTTGCTTTAGAATATGCAATTACAAAGGTCCAAGAAAACCAGGTGAGACTGAAATTGAATAGGACACATCAGCTTCTGGTTTATGTTGATGATGTAAATCTATTGGTAGATAATGGAAATACCATAAATAAAAACACAGAAGCTCTCACTGATGCTAGTAAGGATGTTGGTATAGAAGTAAACATAGAGAAAACTAAGTACACGTTGATGTCTCATCAACAGAATGCAGGGCAAAATCATAACATAAAGGCTGTTAATGGATCCTTTGAAAATGTGGGAGCAACAGTAACAAATCAAAATTTGATTCATAAGGAAATTAAGAGCAGATCAAATTCAGGTAATCCTTGCTACAATTCAGTTGATAACCTTCTGTCTTCTCATCTGCTGACTAAAGGCATAAAGATTTAAATATATTAAAACTATAATTTTGTTTGCCATTTTTTATGGGTGTGAAACTTGGTCTCTGACACTAAGGGAGGAATGTAGACGGAGTGTGTATGAGAACATTTTGCTGGGGAGAATATCTCGACCTACGAGGGCTAAATTATTAGGAGGCTGGATAAAGTTGCATAATGAGGAGCTTCATAAGTTGCGCCCCTCGCCAAATATAATTAGATTGATCAAGTCAAGAAAGATGAGATGGACTGGGCATATGGCCTGCATGGGAGAAAAGTGGAATGCGTAAAGGGTTTTGGTTGGTAAACCAGAAGGTAAGAGAACACTAGGAACACCTAGATATAGGTGGGAGGATAATATTAGAATAGATCTTAAAGAAATGGTATGGGGTGGCATGGAGTGGATTCATATGGCTCAGAATACGGACCAGTGGCAGGCTCTTGTGAACATGGTAATGATCCTTCAGGTTCCATAAATGTTGTGAATTTCTTGAGTAACCAAGCGACTGTTGGCTTCTCATGAAGGACTCGGCTCCATAGAATATATTATGTATGGGAAAGATGTATGTCCAGAAAATTATACTGCTTTTAATACTGTTAACTTCGTCTCATGCAACATTGATGTGACAACATGAATGTATTTGTAGTGACTTGCTTAATAAAACAGAAAAAAAAGCAAAGTAATTTGAAGAGCAATGGATGAGAGTTGTGACAGTAGTGATACAAATCAGTTATTAATCACCATGAGGTGTCAGAGAACTAGCTAGTCTTAAAATTTTGCAAGGTACAACAAGAGAGAAAGGTATGTTTCTGAGAATGTGTGAAACTATAAAGAAATTTGAGTTACCCTGGACTAAACTAAAGAGGGTGTGACAACAGACAAGGGTCTAACTTTGATTAGAAATAAAACAGAGTTGATGAATAAATTTATAAACAAATCTTATATCATCCACCAAGAGTCATTTTATAGGAAAGTTTTAAGTTTGAGCATGCTATGAAAGTTGTGGCATCAGCTGTAAACTTCATTTTATCTCATGGACTCCTCACTAGTTTCAATCCTGCTGTTGAAATTATGGTGAACACGGGAACACCTTATACCATACAGAAGTCTGATGGCTGAGTTGTGGGACAGTGTTAAAATGTGTTTTTAGCTGTAAGATTAGAAATAGAAATGTTCACGAATGAGAAAGGTGAAGGTATGGCTAAATTTCATGTTAAGAAGTGGCTTTGGATTTTGCATTGCTATGTGATATCAGCTACCACATACATGATTCAAATACCAAACTCAAGGTAAACAAACTCATATCTGATATGTTTGCAGCTGTCACAGCTTTTGAAATGACACTGGAAAACATTTGAAGATGGTAACTTGTGTCAATTTTCTTCCTGTGATTATTTCAAAGGGATGGATTAGTTACGTGTTCCCTTTCCAAATGTCCATGCTGTAGAAATAACTGATAGGCTATTTTTATTTCAATGTAAGTTTAGTGTTGGTTACAGTATATTTTAAAGCTGTGGCCCTTACAGCACATATCATTCAATGTATACCTAAAAGTTGAACACATCTGCTCAATGTGCTACGTTTCTCCAGACCTGGAGTTGGATATGTATCAGACTAGTGAACAACTATATGAGATTTGAGGTTCTCATGGCAGTGAAGATGTAGATGCTGGTATTGTGTGGTGTAATGTCATGTGGACTTGTAGTTAGACATCAACATTCCAGAGGAACACAATGCCTCCATTTGCAGGCTCAAAGATAGAGGTTGTTACGCTCCTCTGAAACATTTGTATCTAACTATGGGTCCACACAGCATTACAACACAGAAGACTAATATCGACATATTAAGCAACTACTAACAGTGATCTATGAATATGTGTCAACAAGAAAATCTAATAAACCATGAAAAAATGATAAAAAATAGACCTTTATGGAGGAAGGTTAGTGCCCCAATGTGCAGTATTCTCATCAGTTACTTACATATTACTTGTTCCTGACTCATTCTCTTCACAATAGCTCTGTAGTATTTCATATTGTTGAGAAACTTCACTCCTACCAAATGTCCTGTCCTTTGCAAAACGCATCTGATTTACTCCAGATTCATTATTCCCAGAGTGAATTGGAGAATTTATTCCAGTTCGATTGTACCTAGAATAAGTTGGTGAATTTACTGTGGGTCCACTGTTTCCAAGATATGCTGAATTTATTTCAAGCCCACTGTTTCTGGAACAGGATGGAGAATTAATCCCAGATATGTTATTTCCACTATACATCAGTGAATTTAATTCATCTCTGCTGTTCACAGAGTACAATCCTTTATTCCCACAATAAGACGATTTTATTGTAGGTCCACCATTACTAGAGTATGATAGAGTGTTCATTCCAGATTCATTATTCCCGGAGTAAGTACGTCCATTTATCCCAGGTCCATTATTTCCAGAATAGGATGGTAAATTTACTCTAGGCAAATTCCCAGAATAAGTCTGTGTAGTTACTGCAGACACATTATTCTCACTGTATGTTCGAGGTATCATCACAGATCTACTTCCACAATATGTCAAAGAATTTATTCCCACTCCATTATTTCCAGAATAAGATGGATTGATCTCACACTTCTCACTTCCAGAAAAGGCTAGATAATTTATACCAAATCCATTATTTCCAGAGCACACTGGTGGATTATAATCAGGCCTACTATACATGGGGTAAGATGCTGTATTTATTCCATGAGTACTGCTGCCAGTGTAGGCAGGGGAATTTACTTCAGATCCAGTACTACCAACATAAGCTGACTGATTAATCCTAGGTCCAGAATAAACTGATGGACTTATTCCAGATCTATTACTTCCACCATAGACATGAGTATTTGGGTGCAATCTATTAATTCCAGAGCAAGATGGTGGATTTATATCAGATCCATTATTTTCATTGTAAAAAAATCTATGTTCATATATCCTGGATTTATTATTTCCAGATGTCTGTACATCATTCTCAGAAAATGTTGGCATGTTTATTTCTGTTCCACTATTTCCAAGGAACACAAGTGATTGTGTCCCAGGTCTTCTCCTTTCCCA